CAGGCAGCTGTCAACCAACACCCCCAGGTCCTTTTCTGCCAGGCAGCTCTCCAGCCACTCCTCCCCCAGCCTGTAGTGTTGCATGGGGTTGTTGTGACCCAAGTGCAGGACTCAGCACTTAGCCTTCTTGAATCTCATGCAGTTGGCCCCGGCCCAATGATCCAGCCTGTCCAGGTCCCTCTGCAGGGCCTTCCTACCCTCCAGCAGATCGACACTTCCACCCAACTTGGTGTCATCTGCAAACTTACTGAGGGTGCACTCGATCCCCTCATCCAGATCATCAATGAAGATGTTGAACAGGACCGGCCCCAACACTGAGCCCTGGGGAACACCACTCGTGACTGGCCGCCAACTGGATTTGACTCCATTTGCCACCACCCTCTGGGCTCGGCCGTCCAGCCAGTTTTTAACCCAGTGCAGAGTGCACCCATCCAAGCCGTGTGCAGCCAGCTTCTCCAGGAGAATGCTGTGGGAGACTGTGTCAAAGGCCTTACTAAAGTCCAAGTAGACAATAAGCAAATAGGCAAATATAAGCATATATCTCGTACACTGCTGTGCAAAAGTCAGACATCCTTCCTTAAATAACTAATGAAAGTGGGTTTTGCTTATCTAGCTGATTTTCCACTGAAGCTTATTAAATAATTTTCATATTTTCTACCCTGCTGACTGAGCTGAGGGGCAATAAACCTCCTGGTGACTGGTGGTGATAAGCAGCCAAAGTATGTAACATTTTCAGCTGCTCCACATAGAGTCATTAAAGAACATCTGCCTATGCTGCTGCTTCTAGAAGAGGAACACACTTGCTCCCCTTTGACATTTCTTTCCCCTGAAGGAAAAAATGGTTCTTAATTGTGTTTTACCAGCAATTAACTTTTCCCTGCATCAGCACTCTCTTCCTCTGTTAAAACTCACAGTATCCAACATACATACACAAAATTCTTGTTAGACTGCTTGATTTTTTGACTAACAATCTATTTGACCAGAAATACTGCAATCTGAAATGTGCTTCTTACAACAAGGCTCCCAAATTCCCAATATAGAGTCAGATGAACCCCTAGGGAAAATGAGTTTGAGGGTAACTATCTACTCTCATTAAAAACATTCCTCCATTGGTATCCAGGAAATTGTCTCTAAGAAGGAAACAACCGTTTTGTGGCTTAGGTAGCTGTCTGATCACCAGGTAATGTCACCATCCTAGTTATTCGTATTAGGCTTGGTTCCAGAACTGCAGTCCAGAACAGCAGGTTTGGTTTGAGCCCCACTGGCAGAGGTCTGAAGAGAAGCCTGAATAACATGGATATCTGCAGCGTATCTAGTTCTTGCCAGCCCTGCCCAAACTGCCTTTTCAATGAAATTTGATCCACTCTCCTCAGCACTCCTCCTCGAGAGTTCATTTACATTTCTCATCCTATCTCAAGTAAAAAGGACTGTCCTGAGAATACATTAGCACATGAAAATCCTTTAATAGCCGATGGATGTTAGAAATCTGTAGCTTGAGGTAGCAGTGATACCCAAAGTGTCTTATAAAAGTCACCACGCATTTTAAACTTGGTGTTATTGCTAAACAGGTCAGAAATACAAAGAACTGGCAAGTCCAAAACAGCACGCCAAGGGTCCACTGTCTGCTGGAGAAGTCTAAACTTAATTACTGGCACAAAGCCATGCATTCTGCTACAATCATAAGAATACACTAAACATCAAGTCCCTATTAATTTGAATCCAGTAGTGCTGCAGAAATGTACATGTGTGATTCGTATATGTGAATGACAACTACAGACGGACATTCCCATTTGCAAACAGCATGTTTCTGTTTTAATTTCTGTAAGGCCATAAATCAAAGCATAGCTCATCTGGAAATAGCTGCAATGTTATCTGATTTTAAGGTCAAAAATTCAGAAAGCCTAGACAGCTCTCATCCAAACTCGCTAATCTTATCAGAGCTTTTAAACTTTTTACTTGCATCCATGGGAGCAAAAAAATTTCAGTTTTCACTTTTTAATATACCTTTTTTTATATATATTTTTCAAACAAAACCTGGTTGTCCCACATATTCATTTAGCACTGTGAGCTGAGGCTTTAAAAGCAAAACCTAAACCGTACAATTAATAATAAAACCCTGCCATATTTTCATTAGTGTACTCCAAATGTGGGCAGACAGATGTCTAATGGTAAACAAGGATCTGTGGCCACTTCTGCCTTGAAACGCAAAGGCCACCTTACTTTTGTGGAAAGACACTCTATGTGTCCTGATTACCTATGGGGATTCCCTGTACCAACCCATGTCTTACAGTGTAATCAGCACTTCATGCAACGATGGAAACTCGATCACGTCACCCAGTTTGGTTCTGCTGTTGATGCCTTTGCACAACTCTCCTTTGCCTTTCAGAGTAGGAAGAAGCCAATACTGACTATGTAACAAAGAAACAGCATGTAAGTCAAACTCTGTATCCTACACCTAATTTAAACATTTTGTGCTCATTCCTCCTGGCACAATGCAGAATGGATGAGTAATTAGATCATTATCTCCCCATCAATGAAAATCTAACATCACTGGGACAGGAAGTTACAGCTGTATAACAACAGACAGCAGTATTGCATACTAGGTTAGAAACGGGAAAGGCAGGCACTACAGGCAATTTAAAGTTAAGAGGGATCTTATTATAATTATCCCAACTGTAATATAACCAAGAAAACAGTGATTCAAAAGGGAGCTCTCAAAATTCCTAGGCCAAAAATGATTATAACAAATTTTCCATATAGCCATTTTTCAGCTAATCTGGTCTCAGATTTTGCTTCTCAGATGTTTGCTGTTAGTACAGCATTAGTCTACCCAGAATTTAGAAGGGAAAGCTTATGATTAAAATTCCAATTCTGCCATGAGTTCTCTGTAAGCGTAGTGTTATTGCAGAGAAAATGGGTTCTTAAAGGCCACATCCCAAAACAGAATGATTTGCTTTTCAGAAGTACTTTTTTGAGCTTCAGGTATAAATCATCTTTATTCCAGATGACTGAAAATTATCCAGAGAGGAAATTCTATGAAAAGTAAAGAAATTACCTGCCCACATTTTAAGAGTAGTAATTTAGCAAAGGCATCTGAAAAAAACCACTGCAATACAATTTTGCCATAATCCTTTGCACTGGGGTGACTTTCCCCCCCCCTTTTGCTGCTAAAATAGCAGGACTTTCTTCCCCAACCCAAAGACGAGCTTTATAAAGTAATATAAGAGTCTTCAGAAAGGAATGAGATATTTTTTCCTCAAAATTTAGTTGAGATTAGAGAGACGTTAAAAAGAATCACTTTATATAAAAAGGAAGACACAGAAATCTCTGCAGAAAATTAGTTTAAACTTGAGACCTGAAAATTTTGAACAAGTGTTTCTTTACACAGATCTCATCAATATACTCTTAAGTCTGCTGTTGAGAAACAGATCACCCAGAAAGAGGGAGCTGGTGATTCCTCAGCTCTTGTTACTGTGAAGTATAAGCTAACAAATAATAGCGATCCAGCTATTGCTTTTCTGTTAGAAAAGGTAATACTGTGATTTTTTTTTGAGTGATACTTATGGGCAAATTTTACTTAGTGTGCAAAATTGATCAAAGATAGCAAGTGACTACCAGACAGGAAACAAGGGAACAACTCAGGATATCTTAATCTAATTTACAGTCATCTTTCATGTACATTTCACTCTGGCTGAGGAATCAGGAATGTTACCAATAAACAGAAAGTGCTTCTCTCTAAGAATTTTTACAGACTTCATTGCTCAAACATATCTGTGTTCAAAATAATACAAAAAAAATGATGTTTATTTGGATAGTTTTCTTTCAATTACTACAGAATGAAAATGTACCTTGAAGACTGATGTGTGCATTCATGGGCAAAAAGTAAGGATCAGGTTGTATACAAATACCATTATACAAACATACAATCAAAGCACCAGTAAAGTAAGTATTGGTATAGTACAGTAAGTATAATATAGCAAGTATATATGTAAATATAGGTAGCACTTGTGTATGTGTATTCATACAGGTTATACATTATCACAGTCATCATTAGATGAGAATAATGGCACTGTAACTAGCAAGCCATTCTAACTTGAACATCTTAATGATTTCCTATTGTTTGACCTATATTTTTAGTCAATGTTTTTTCATTGCTAAAATGACTTTACCAATTGCAGTGAGGTTACAGAACATGTAAAAGCTGGATTAGTAAACAAGGGTAGGAAATAGTTTTTTCTGACTGACAAAGGTGTGGCATAAAAATAGCTTAAAGGATAACCACCATCTCCTACAGATTTTCTCTTATTTCTTAAGATGGTGTGGAAAATGTTCAAAATACATTGTAGCATAGCTTGGTATTGACTGAAAGTTTTACTACACTATACTACGTAATTTAGTCCTGCCTCTTTTCCAACTCCTGTCTTTCACAAATGTCATTTAAAGTATCTCTACTTATGCACATCAGGAACAATTAAGTACAAGGGAACAAGTAATACTGTACTTCAGTACCACAGTTCGGCTGCAGCTTTGCAACAATATTACTGGAGTACCTGTAAAACGCAAATGAATTGCCGTCTTCGTAATTCAGGGAAAAAAGCAGATACCGTCAATCCCTCCGAGCAGCACACAGACAAACCCTAGGTCTTCGCAAAGCTTGAGCTCTTCTCGCTATTGTTGCACGCTAATTAGAGCGGTTAAGGGCGAGATGTCGATCGTCAGCCACAAAGGCAACCCGCTAAGGTTGGGTTGTAGCACCCGCGGGGGAACTGTTTGCAAGGAAGTTTGTGCACACCGACGTTTTCAGCAACCGCCTTATAAGAGAGGACCGGTTTCCCTTCCCTCCTCTCAAGACGGGGGCCATCAGAGGAGACAGCACCGACCCAGCCCCGCCGCCCCCGGCCAGGGCAGCCTCACCTCCCTGAGAAGGCTGCAACAGCGAGACTTACCTTAGTGAGCTGGGCAATTTTCTTGCACATTTTCACGTGCATTTCCTGATTGCATTCCTCTGCCGAGCTGCTGCGAGCGGCTTTAGATCCACTACAAGTCCCGGGCTGATGAATCTTGTTTATGCCAGAGGCCATTAGGCTTGAAATATTTTAATCAAGTCTGTCTGTGTAGGCTCCGGGTAGTGCGATCCTTTCCCTGCGGCTGGCCTCCCCCGGCGCGCTGCAGGCACTCAAACCCCCATAGCGCTGGAGGAACTTCAGCCCCCGACAGGGGAAGCTGCAGCCGCCGCCGCTCTCCCTTCTGTGCAGATGTCCCAGTCCTTCAGCAGAACACCCAGGCGAGGAGGCAGAGAACAGCATGTGCAAACATCCTGATGGGGATTTTTTTTTCCCTCCCCTTCTCTTTAAATGGTTGAGCTTCCGCCAGGAGAAGATGCCAGCGGTGGGATGCTACAGATTCCCCACAGGAGCCGCTGAACCAGCCATACAAGCAGCAGCACAGACGTTGCTGGAGATCTGTTATAAAGATCATCTGCAGATTAAATCATGTTACCTTCGTGGGCTGTCAAAAGATTGCAGAGGTCATCAGAGAGGACCGTGTTGGCACCTTTCATAAGCTCTGTTATTTTGGCAATCCTCTTTAAGTACGTATGGACCAATAAAGAGATGAAGAAAACCTTGTTCCATTTTTGCTGCTCAGCTCAAAGCAGAATGGAACAGTTCTTCCAGCTAAGAGGCACATTTGAGCACAGCTGAGCCCGGGAGCAGTGTCCAGGATCTGGTCCGCCTGCCTTATCCAAAGAGGCTGGTCAGTTCCCCTCAGTTACACAAAGGCATTGGAAAGGTGCCAGTAGAAAACTGACAATATTACGGGTCATTTTTTTCATCTGCAAGCCTTTCCCTCTCTTCAAAGAAATCAGGCTTCTACATGTAAAAATAAATAAAAGGACAGACAAGGCAGAAAAAAGGGCACAAAAAAGGCAAGCTATTAAGATAATGGGATTTTTAATGAAGAATGGTTCAGTAAAGTGTTATGCAAGAAGAAAATGGTTAGTGGACACGTTTAAACAAGTCTAGAAGAGAAAGGGGAAGTAGGAGAAGGCAAAGTAGGGTGAAGTCAGAGAGGTGGAAAAGAGGAAAAGGGAGAAAGAACAGGTAAGAGAAGCCAAGAGCTGCTCAACACCCCTTTGATGTGTCACTGCAGCCAGTACAAGAGACTCCACGGAGCAGGCAGAGGGCCCCATCTCAGCTCACTGGCTTGCAGCCCGCCAGAGGGGACATGAGGCTGCCTCTGCACCCTTGCCCCATGCAGGTAAGGCAGCTTTCCCATCTAACCTCCTGGCAGTACTTTCTGTCCTTCTCAGGCAAGAAGCTTCCACTTTGCCAGTGGTGGGTTTGAAAAAGAGGTTCCTCAGGACTATCAGAATTGGGAAGGAGGATTATCCAGTGTCAGCTAAGGGTAGGGAAAAAGGGAAAATCCTTGGTGAGGGCAAAAAGAGATAAAGCACTGTTAAGAATAAACACTCCAAGTGGAAAAAGATCAGGGCAGAAGAATGCCTGCAGGCAGTGGGGAGGAGTGAGAAGATATAAGAACGCCTTGGGACAGAGAAACCAAACCCTTACATTGCTGGGACAAAAGGAGGGACTCTAAATCTCCAGGGGCAGAAAGAATCTTCAATCCAGGAGTGAGAGGAAATGAAGACTGACTGAGAAACTCAGCATAGGAGAAGGGGAAGGCCAGGAAGGAAAATGAAGATGGTCACAGTTGCTGGGAGATACAAACCAGGGAAGAGAATTTTAGCCCAGACAGAACATTAATAAGAAAAGGTAGGAAACAGAGCCTTGTATACAGGAATGACTAAGTATAGTTTCTTCATTCACTGACATCGAGTGTCCAAGATGCTTCTGCCTGTGACTGAAACTTACTCTATGACTAAAGCATAAGGACATGCCATTGTCAATTGTCTGGTATCTAATAAAACATGTACTCACACTTAAGTTTAACTCAGTTAATACAGTTATAATATCTTCTCTATACGGTCATCAATTTGAGAAAAAAGTGTAGGAACTTAATTATACGTAAAATTTTGATAAAAGTGACAAGCTTATTAGCACAATCAAGAACACAAAAGGCTAGAGAAATTTCCTGGTACCTTGTTTCCTCAGAAAAAGAACAAAACTGAGTGAGAATAGAGACCAAATTAAGAAAAATGCAAAAGGTTTTAAAAGTACTTACAATAAGTTACCTGTGTTATTGCCCTACCAGACAGATAGTAACATTCATGTCTTTTCTACTGAACAGCAGAGTTCAGTAGAAAACAGCACTGGACCTGAATGCATGGCTGGACAGAGACTTGAGACACTTACACAGGCATGGACAGAGCAGAGGAGCACAGATCTTCAGGCACACTGGGAAAGGAATAAATCACTGGGATATTTTCAAGCAGGCTGTTTATGTATTTTGGGGGGTTAGAGAGAAAAACTTGAGGCTTTGGTATAAGATGGTGTGTTAGCAGAACATAATTTGTCCCTGGTAAATTGTTCTGAGTCAAGACAAGACTTGCCAGTCAATACTTCAAACATTGGGAAAGTTTCAGTCAGATCTCATGCACCAGAAAATGCAACCACAGAACATAAATTCATTGGCGACTCAAGTTCATTAGTTCCACCACTCAAAAACCCCACTTGATTTCAATAACAGAATTTCAGCAGATAATGCCAGAGCTTTTCAATGAGAATTTGACCTTTTTTTCCTTCTAATTAATCTAGGGATCACCTATAGATAAGATGACAAAGCAAGGACGTCACAAAGCATAATTTAAGTGTGCACTACACAAATGTGGGTTTTGTGAGAACTGCATGGAACACATAAGCAACTTACAGAATGTTCTTTAACTTAGGGCAGTATATGGCAAAGATGTTTAAAATATAAATTAAAAGTCTATACAGAAAACACACACTTCTGCTTGAATTATTACTGCTGCATTAGTTTTAAGTAAATTATGAGAGAAGGTGGTCATGGCACTACAGTCTTTCTAAGTCTATGAGTAATTGCACACAGGTTTATAGCTTTACTGCACAGATGCATTAACTAATTTACCTTTTCATTATAAAAAGCAAGTCATATATGAGTAAGCGACTAAGTCTTCCATTTTTGGTACCTCCTGCTTGTTGAGTATGCAGACTATATAGCTTCTGAAATCTTTATAATCCCTCTTTGCAGTCCTAACTCAGCCAACTGTGGTATGCATAAAGGAGTTTAGAGACCTTTGTTCTACAAACTAGTCTTCTCAACCTTTGAATTTGGAAAATCATAGCACACAGACTATCATTATATGAAAGCATGTTCTGTCTCTTACTTTGCTGGTGGATTGGGCCATTTCACACAACAAAAAGTACATGTTCTGTTCATCACATCCTTCCAAAATTTGTGTTCAGGTCTGTTTTTTTTAATAACACAACATTAAAGGAATATTTACTGTTCTTAATCGATGAAGAAATAAATAGGGTTTCTAATGAGTTTTGACTTGGAATCACATCCTTTCTTGTTTTAGAAGCAGGTGTGGGGGAATCAAAAATCAAATTACTTTTCCCCTTCTAGAATGCTTTTATAATGCCTTTCTCCCTCTGTCAAAAAGAAAAGAAACAACTTTGAACAAAATCTGCATGCAAAGTAATTTTTGAGTTCCTATCCTTCTTCTATGGTACCAAAGCAATTTGTCATTGCTTGGTTAACATACAAGCACTTTGTCCTGTCACATATTTAGTCTATAACAGTGACTTGAATGTCAGAAACATTCTCTGACAGCTGATCAGTCCATATCAGCAAATCTTTAAAAGCATCTCTAAGTCAACATCATCAGGATTGTCAAATGGGAAAAGGTGCAATTCTGGTTACGGTTATTACAAAACCCTTGCCACCAAGAAAATTAGCTTTAAATGGCTGAAACAAATTTCAGGTAGGCTTTCATAATACGTATATAAAATTCTTAAGACCCTGCATGATTTAAACATCAGTATAATTTAAGTAAGGTGTGACCCATATGGATCAAACTCACCCAGTTTACCTCACTATCTCAACTGAAACCCAAGTCCATCAATCCAGCATTACTTATACCTACACAAAAAAATCTTTGTGTCATATATGAGGTAAGACTAGCTATTATTAAAAGATCCATACACCCCAAATTCCAAGACATAAAGAAGATATTACTGTTGCAAATGTTTAATACCTAAGTTTGCACCTGTTTAACATATTACAAACAGCTTTCCCAAAACACTATTAATAGAGAGCTCAATTCTTCAGCTATTTTTCTAAATACCAGTACTACTGAAGTCAGTGGCATTTTTTTTTTTTTAATACATGAGGGCAAAGTTAAACCAATCCCCCCGATTACACTCTTCTGCTGTTTCGCAGTCCAATAAAATTCGCATTTGAAAATGGTAGAACAATACAGTTAGTCATTAACTGTCATGTTATGTTTCAAATGACAAAGCTGTATCAATAAAATGGATTTAGAACTTTTCAAGTTAGTGTCTCAACAAAGGAAGATGCATCCCTAAGTGAGATTCTAATTTAATTCATAAATCACTATCCTCATTATTGATCTCCATTTAAATTCATTTTGGTCCCAGAGTAGCTTTTTGACTCCTGAGTACATTATTCAGGGACTCTTTTTTTCCTTCTTACAGGAAAACAAAAAATAGAAATAAGGATAAAAGTTAGACAGAAGACTCGTAAGAGCAGCTGTCCTGCTCCCCTAATTCACTATCCTACTTCCAATAAATCTTGTTTTGGGATTGAATGCAAGAAAAAGGACAAGTATAAAGTGGTTCTGCCACTGGTACATCTTGGGTAATTACACATATTATGTGTATTTTTTACATATATATAAAAATATTATATATAATTACTTTATAATCTTCATTTCTTCCCACCTCATAAAGCAAACAGGATTTGAGAGTCCAATTCAAAAAACACTAGAAGTGCTCCTGATTTCCTTGTTGACTGAAAACAGTAACTATTCAAAAACATATATACAATTTTATAGCTGACTTACACACAAGTTTTGGAGGGACGTGGTGAACAGAACCTCCGATTACTACTGCATAATGATGGCCCAATTATGGATGAA